GTTCACTATAGGCCTCGATACTAAGCCAACTACATCTATTTACCATCCTCACAGTCCACCGCCCTAAGATCCATGTTAACATTATCCTCTCATCTCCTTCTTGGTCTGCCCAGTGGTCGTTTTCCAGAAGGAAACATGTCCATGACTATTATCAACCAAAATTCTGTACTAATTTCTCATCGCTACCTTTATAAGGTATGACGCCTATCTGAAGCCTATGGGACTCATATTTAATCATAATAATTACTATACGAAGTTAAAATCATCATTTTATTTAAAAGGCTTGACCAGACAGTTAACAAACAAACGTTCTTTATTAACTATTTCAAAAGCAGAGAAATGAAATATGAAACTAGCCCTTTACATTCTACAACAGAGATAACTCGTTTAAAACCGTTAACCCTTTAGCTTTGGACTTATTTGATATTTGAGAAGTTAAAAATGCATTTCCGCCACCTGTCAATAATTGAGGCAACTAAAGTATACTTCTCTCTACGCAGGGCCAAGATCCTCGACAGACACAATACAATCCCCAGTCTTCCTTATCAGGTACAATAATAAAATAGAATTTGTCTCTTTTTGTTTACAAGGCAAGATACAAGAAGGTTTCGTTTATCTACTCAGTTCCATCTTGACAAAATACGTAAACATTCAACAAGGTAGGAAAATAACCTCCAAATATCCTGGACAGCTGTTTTTACGCACGTCGCCATGTTTGTGAAACAGATTAAACCTTCATTCCATCCTGTTGAAGCAAATTTCTTTTATCCAAGGCCAATTTGCGAACTTCGCACCTTCCAACACGATAACCATCCAGCGTGCATGTGGCGGCCATTTCCTTCAAACATATCTGTCTGTCTGTCTGTCTGTCGGTCTTGATCGGGACAGATCGCGGTTTCTTCAACTCCACCAGGACATGCAGATGTTAAGAGTGAACGAATATTAGCGTTTTTCGTGCTTCCTTTGTCAACTAAACATTCTACTTACTCCAAACTTAGCATGTTTATTCCTTGAAACCAGACTGATTTTGGAGAACTCGAAAAAAAAATAAAAGTGTCTGGGTTCGAATCCCGGTGAGGATAGTTTCAGTATCTTGGAAAGTAGACGCGACAGAACAACTTCGCCAAGACCGAAGTTGCTCGTTTCGACAAGGAAATTACGGAGACAACAACCACAACTCCTAAAATTGTCCTCAGTTGTCAAAGATTACTGTATTTTTAATTCTTCTAAAATTATTCATTTGATTTGTTATCAAACAATGGGTAACCAGAATTTCTTCTCGTAAATTTTATTTAGGACACAAAACTTACTTTATAAATCTAGAAGGAGAGGCTTGAAGGGTAAATGACCTTGAAATTTCAGTCGCCTTCAACCCAAACAAAACATCTTCCTGTACCATGCGGAAAGGAGGATGGATGGTGATAGTATTCAAGAGAACTTAATGAATAAGGCAGTGAAAGGGACAATCGAAACAACATACATCGGTGATTGTCTCCAGCAAAAACTTTCACGGCTAATTGGCTTACGTAGGGCTGGTACCATCTGCTTTCGGCACACCCATTATATTTAAGTGGGATACTTCAATTCATGGAAAAGTCTGCATTCTGTATTTTTAATATGCCAAATTTTAATCAAACAAATCAAATTTTACAGACTTTTAACATTACGTAAAACGAGGTTAAATGCGAACATTAAGTCAAGTGAAGATGTTCTTCCCAATACACGCCACGTAGGTCGTTTGGGGGGAGTGGAGGTGTAGCTCCTACTCATTCATGACCTCGGCACTAGATGGGGGGTGAGTGGTCAGCATCACGCCCCGGCCGCACTTTTCCCCAGGGAAAGAACCCGGTACCCATTAGACAGGAGGCTGGGTGGGCCCCAGAACTGGGTCTGAACGCAGAAGCTATAAGAAAAACCATCTGCCCTCGTCGGGGATCGAACCCCGGTCGTCCAGCCCGTAGCTTGTCACTATGCGAACATTGGAAAGCGTAATTTTAAGGAATTTCCAGCCTGTAGCTTGTCACTATACGAACATTGGAAAGCGTAATTTTCAGGAATTACGTAAAATTTTTGTATAATGCGAAATTAATTTCGCGTAGATCGACGTCCAATCCACGTAACTACTAAAATTGTAATTGCATGTTGTGTTGGAGATCTGCCCGTGTATTTTCCGAGTGATTATCACCGGAGTCAAAATGTTCTGGCTAATCAGTGAAACTACGAGCACAATTCCGCGGACCTGCGCGGCAGCTTCCAACTCGGCCGCCGATATGATACTGATGCTCCTCACGAAATCGAAATAAAACCGCGGATGTGCGAAAGCGCGTATAACAAGATACGCCTGTACGATTCTCAGCCCGCGACACTGTACATAATTTAATTTTATTTATTATTTTTTTAGTGTTCTGTCTGACGACAGGTCCCTATGAACAGGATCCTTCCATCCTTTTCTCGGACTGGGACCTGTTCATATACGTTCTTGGCAGATGATCCAGAAGTGGTTTGCCATTGCCTTCTTCTGTGTGTGAATGGAGTAATTGTCGGGATGCCACGGAGGAAAACTCCGTGTTGCCAAGAGTCGAATGAAGGACGAATGTGGCCCGAGGACAGAACAATTTGGCAAACCCTGCACTATACGGTCCGCAAAATCAGAAACAGGACGACACCGTGTAATTATACTCACAGAGTGCACAGCATTTGTTCTCCGACTGTACGAGTGTTTTGTTTCTGTGATCGTTAACAACAGCGACCCCCAGCACAGCCTTCGAGGAACACTGGAGAGAGAACGTTATAGTTTGTGGCTGTCACCATAGCAACCATGACACATGAAGTACGAATTATTAGAGAACATTTCAGCGGGAGTCATTTTTTTTTTTTTAAACTTTTACTCCCAGTGTCTCTGAAACTTCAATACAACCAGAGATGTTTGTTGTTGATATAAAAGTGACGGGGTGGTCTAGCACGTAGGACCAGGTTGAAGGACACGAACGTGTATCATGGCACGAGACCGTCCTTGTTGTCCCTAATGTCTTATTTGCGCTCACAAAGTAGCAAGACATCAAATGCTAGTTTTGAAGAAAGTAAGTTCTTTGATATTTATACTGCATAATCGTTCTCGTTTCTAGAAGCCAACTCTCTAGTGTTATTTTTTTTTACCAAAGACTCTTACCGTAAGAACTGTTGGAGAAAATCACACAAAAACAAGCTTCATAATTTGTTCTCGTCTATAATTAAAATTTATATATGATTTTTTTTCGTGTGTACGTTTGTATCTCAACAACTGATAAACCGATTTGTGCCAAATACGCATTTCTTGAGGCCAGAAAGAGATTTTTACAAGGTCAAATCTCCAAAAAGTTGTCCTCAGTTCGAGCCAAGGTGAAGATATTTTTTTTGAATATAAATCTATGAGCTATTCTACTATTCTAGTATTTAATAACAATATCGTTATTACATGAGGATGTACATTTAGCACACATGGGGAATGAGAAAAATTTCAAATTATAGGTAGGAATATCTTAAACAAAGACCACATACGATGAAAAAGTATTATTAAAATTAATGTTAAAGGAGTTTGTATAGAGGATTTAAACAAAAACACAGTGAACTGTCCTCAGGACAGTCGTGGAACTAACCTGTCGATATTACGATGTTCCTTTGTGATTTTGTCGAAATCAGGCAAACCCGGAACACGCTTCGGTAACTTCAACAAGTGTGTCCCTGGCTCGCTGCCAGAGCCCAGCGGGGTTCACTTCGAGCACGTGGGGTTTCGAGTCCAAAAATATCGTTAAACCCCGCGGTTATAACTGCATTAAAAATTCCTCAGCGCGTCGTAGTGGAAACCGAACCGAACTTCACACAGACATTGCAAACGTCTGCCGTGAGGGTGTACAGCCGAGTGACAACGAACTTTGACAGCGATCAAATATTTCGTCGTTGGTAAAGATGATCTTGCTACCCAGTCACAAAACCGACAGTTCCCAACGCTTTCACGACTCTGAAACCTATCTTTACAGGAAGGACGACCGGGCAGTGTCTGGGAACATTCAGAACCAGATAAATACCTATAATCCCCGTAATGATTGAAATGTCTCTCTCATGACACCTCATCCCCCTCTCTCTATCACTTCAAAATGACGCACAATGTAAAATGATAAGAAAATAACTTTCGAATAACCAGATGCCCCCAAATTTCGAAAACATTCCCGGATTTGTATGGAGATCACCAGAAACATTATAGATGTCCAACTCTGCCTGTTGTATGGCACGTGTCCTGAAGACGACCTCAGAGTGGCAAATTCTTAAAGGATTTAATGTCCAAGCCCCTGTTTCAAGACGATCATTTATCCCAGATTTACAAGATGTATCCCGAGATTGTATTTCAGATTCGTCGCGGGCCTTAAAATCCACAGTTCTTGGAATTCACATTGACCATCTGCATGAAGCAGTGTTTCAAAGGAGGCTGGAAGTCGCTGAGAACGTCGTGCTTGTTACATGTCCAGCCCATCGTAGCCTCCTAGATTTCACTATCCTCACTACACTAGGTGACCCGTACAATTCACTCAGCTCCTCGTTATGAAATATTCTAAATTCCCCACTTATTTCGTCCCTCCTAGGCCCAAATATCCTCCAAACCAGTGGTGTTCAACCTGGGGTACGCGTACCCCCGGGGGTACGCGAAGACATCTTAGGAGGTGCGTGAAATTTAAAAAAATATATATTATTTTATGATAAACACTGAATAATCAGTAATTTAATTTATTTTAGATGTAGATTATATATTATGTATAACTTGAATTATAAACCAACAACTTTGGGGGTACAAAGTTGAAGAGAAATTATATCTGGGGATACCCGAAGACATCTTAGGGGGTACGTGAAATTAAAAAAAAATTTAAAAAATGCGCTTTTGGTACGGTCAGACGTGACTCGAGGAGCTCGCACGCTTCCTACCTCCTTGGTAATTTCACGTCACACTTAATAGCAAGTCGGTGCGTTACCTCAATGAAGTGCCTGCTCCGTCGAAGTCCTGCCCGCGAGGGTGGCTTGGTGTCCTCGGGGCTCCTCATCACTACAACCCTCGAGTCGTCGTCTTCTTCCTCATCCTTCCTCACAGCCTGTGCGTGGGCGTGCCTCTGAATCGCATCCCCTATCCGTACTCTCTCTTCGCCCAACCAACCGCGAACCGCCCTCCAGGCGCGCCGAATACGGGTTCGAACGACCCCCATCCCCCTGCGACGGTCCCGCATTAAGCCGGCACGTCGCCTCCGGGGGTCGCAGTAATCCCGCTGTTGTACATCCTCGTAGTCGCCGTTCGCCTGGCGCCGCTGTGGGCCCACTGACGCCAACTCATAGTAATCGCTGTAGTCCGTGATCGTCTCCCAGTCCTGGCACCCGGCCCCAGAATGATCTGCCACTTGTACTGGAAGGGTTATCGTGATCGTGGAAGGATTTACGATGGTGGACGGAGCGGAAGTGTCTTGACAAGGCGGGGTGGCACAGTCACGAGAATGTGCATCTGAGGAAGGGTTCGCTGTCGACGAGTCCTGGAAAGAAGGTGCAGTGGAGTCAGGACAGGAAGGATCGGGAGGCAGGCTCGACGAATCAGAAACTTCAGTTCCGGTGGACGAGTTCCTGGGAGACGCGTACGTATTCTCCTGGTGAGCCGAAGTGTTGATGGACACTACGTTTATGCAGGAGATGTTGGGAGATTTCTTCCTGGATTCCTGGCTCAACATTGCGACCATCGAAGAGCAATGAATGGCGTCCACTGGTGTAGAATTGATGGGTATCACTCTCCTCAGGACCTCGTAGTCTCCTTCCGGGCTGGGAGTCTTCACGTCCTCCCCAACGACGATGGTCACGGCATCACTTACCGTCGAAACGGTGTCCGCTTCAGACTGTGCAGAAGATTTCCCCGAGGCGTGCAGACACGTCCCACTCGCCGACGTCACAGGGATCGTTTGATCGGTGAAGAACGAAAAGCTGATGTCCGGAATCCCTTCCATGACGAATTCCTTTCTCCTCCGAGGCGGGGTTGACATCGCCCGCGGTATAGAATTCCTGGGATTGTTACCGGTGACGCGAGCTGACGACTCCAGGCTATGCCTCCCGCTGTAACCCAACGGAACATCGTCGCAGCGCCGAGTATCTCCGTTCGTCTTATCGACGCTCAAAGCGTCGTCGGGCAACGTCTCGGCTTTGCTGGCTTCCTCGGGGACCGGTTCCTCTAAGATGTTTGGACTTTCCGGAGGTTGGACAGCCTGCTCGTTAGTCTCCTGGCTCGAAGGAACACAAGACGAACGCCACCATACAACAGGGACGCGGGGGACGCTGTTCCACCACTTACGTTCCTTCATCGTGAGACTTAATCTTCAAGCACTTATGGAATGTTTATCTGGAATTTGGTTGAGAGTCCTGCTTTGTCCACGGCGTGTCACAGACTCTGCTGCTGTCTTGCGTCGCCTGGGTCCAAGAACGAACTGACACGCACAACGGCAAAGGGGACAGCGATTTCTTGTCTCAGAAGCAAACGTCGACGTGAAAATAATCTTCAAAGACACCAATTCACACCTCAGCTTTCAACCGACGAAGTCTATGTGAGTTCAACACCAACGGCAGTGACCGGTGAAATTTGTACATAGCGCATTTGAATGAACAACGTCTACTGAATGCATCCTATTAAACAAAAGGGTAAGTGGTACACCTCACAGTAAGAAACTATTTTCACGTGTCACGTTCTTACATGAAACTGATATAAGTCACGGGCAAAGAAGCTCAGTCGCTCCGATAACCCAGGAGAGAGAAATCCGACACGCATCGACCAAGAAACACATTAGTGTCGCTAACTGACAAACCCCGTTTCATTGATAGTTCCCATTTTCGGGCGATAAAATGAACACTGCACAACAGAGCAGGCCATGAGGCCGACGTGTTAGCGCTCCGAGGGAACGCGCGGTACTCGCTCGTGAAGCTACCAGGGGCCGGAAATAGCTTCTCCAAATATAGAGACCGCTAGGAAGCCAGTAGCGAACGGCGGTGGAGCGGTCCTTGGCGACGTGCGCGACAATCAGGACGTCGGTCATCCATTGTGGGGATTTGTCAGAGTACAGTAAGCTAAAGAAGGACCCCGAAAACCTTCACTAGAATATGCATTTCAGAACCAATCTCCAAGTGCAACGACGTCCTTGCTGCCCACTTCATCAGTGCGATGAGTCAATGTCCTAATGACGGAGGCAGCAGGGACCTCTGAAACGTCGGTAAACTTCTACAACCCAGAAGACAGCCATCTTCAACATGCCTATGGTTCATATTCACGAGTAATCAGTGCATGATGCAGTCTGAACTGAAAAAGTACTGAATATGAAGATAATGTGTCTAAGAAATCAGACACTGGAGGAGATGACTGCAGATGCTGTGGTAACCGGCTAACACAATGGACCACAATCCTTCCTGAGAAGCTGAGAAATTGACCACTTTTCATTTAAACCGAAAATTAGTCACAAGAACCAGCGATTGGCAGTTATTCCGACAGCAGAAATCCAACCCACACACGATTTCTTTTAGATATGTTTTAATAGTAACCTTCCTTCTACGACTGTCTTCCAAGTGATCTTCGTTCAAGAATTTGTACGTATTTCTGACCGCTCTCATGCGTGCTACATGCTCGGACCGGCTCATTCTTCTTTGTTTCGTCATCCTAACAAGTGAATATTTAAATAGAGAAAGGACAAAACAGTGTGATGTTGTATGTAATGTTATTAGGTACGCAATTTTAAGATACCTCAATGAAATAAAGGTACACCAAGGCCACTGAAGAACGCAAAGTTATAATGAACGTACTCGAAGGATAAATGTACTCCACCAACTGACTGTCGAGGAGATTATAAATGCGAACAAAAGTTGACTGGAAAGTCTGAACATTTGAAACCACTCGGAAGATAGCCGAAAATGGGATGATAACATTACAATGTGTTAGAATGCTGGCCTTGTAATCCTGGGGTCTCGGGTTCGATTCCCGACGGTGCCCGAATTTATAACTTGTGTTGGGCAAGGCCGTGGTCTAGGCAACACGGAGTTTTCCTCCGTGGCATCCCAACAATTACTCCATTCACACACAGAAGAAGGCAATGGCAAACCACTTCTGGATCATCTGCCAAGAACGTATATGAACAGGTCCCAGTCCGAGAAAAGGATGGAAGGATCCTGTTCATATGGACCTGTGTTCAGATAGAACACTAAATAATAAAATCCTCTTGTGAACACGGTAATGAAAGTTATGGTTTAGGAACTTCTTAAATACCTGAGCGACTACCAACTTTTGAAAAAGAATCTTCCTCTGCGGAGTTAGTTAGAATATCATGTCAAATAAATACTGCAGACCTTAACGAGATGTTGATTTTACGACAAACAGACGAACGAAGACATTAACATCAGCATTGATTCATATAAAGTAAAGTCTGTGTGCAATACGAAGACATACACGCATGCGTACATACGTGTAGGTAATATCAGTGCCTTCAGCTTCAGTTCTAACGCCTAGCTGTTGAAATCCTTCAGCGTGGGTCTTTCGCAACCTCGAGATAATCGGCATCCTAGCGACGAGCAGTACACCGAAGGCGAGGGACCCTCAGTGCCTCCAATTGCCTTGTTAACCTCACGCTTCCAGGGTCAAAGGGGGACCTGATCTCTCACGTCCGCACAATTACGATAACGTGGCACCGTAATTAATATATCTGCCCTTCCTATTATTAATCACTGTAATAAATGTTCATTTAAGAATGCAATAGTACTTAAAAACTTGTAAAAAAAATTCCAATGGACGACATGTATGTAGTATTGCATAATCTGAGAGGATCCCAGGGGCAGTACCCATCCAAACGAGGTTATAGTGGCGCCTATGGTGAGATATAGCGGAGTCTACGTTTGGCGGGAGTCTGGGTTAAGTCTCCGCGAAGATAATTTCACATTTAATCTACTTTACTTTTATTACGATTTGCAAAATTAAACCTGTGATACACTTAAAGATGGCTGTCTTCCGGGTTGCAGTGCCGTGAAGTCTGGTAGAAGTTTACCGACGTTTCAGATATCCCTCCTGCCTCCATCATCAGGGCGATCATCAACCCAGAAAATAGCCATCTTCGGACTCACCGTAGTGAAAAACTCAAACCCTACTGATTACTTAAGTTTTCTAAATTTAATGACAAAACTTAATTATAGCGGACACCTCACATGAATAATTTAATACGTTTCTGGAGAACACATTACAGACTATCGAGAAATGCAGGCTTCGCTGTTTTGAAGCCTCCTCAATGGCCTTCAAGTCCATTTATCGCAGTTCGAAGTTATTATTGCTGGTAAGCTAATCGTGTTATAAATACCACACAGCACAGTTTCGAGAATTACTTTCCCCTAACTCCGAAGGTTTCTAGTGATATTGTTTCACGTTTGGTATTTCTGTTTTCCGCACTTCACCCAACGTTTGAAACTCTAAAACAAGACCACTACGTTTCGAGAGCTTGATGTACTTCCTTCTTCAGGTGAAAATACCTGTTCTGTTCGATCCGATGAAGGTCCAGAGATTCTTATCAGACGCAACAAAAAGGTATTTTCACCTGAAGAAGGAAGCAGAGTCACCTCCCGAAACGTAGTGCTCTCTTTTATTCCGTTAAAGATTCGCCATATCAGAAAACGTGTTATATGAGGTCTGTATTTTATGTCATATAAAACAACTCAGCACGCAGTTTCTGATAACAACTATATCATTGGATTCAAGCTACAAGTCACGAAACTGACAAGTAACTAACTATCTCCACGTGTAGAGTCCTACTTCAGAACCTGATTGTCGCTCACTCTATCAATAAATATCCCGCATTTTATGAAGTCTGTGCATTACCGTATCCACAAAATCATCACTGGCCAATATCCTGATCAAAATTAGTAAAGTCCAAAATTCTTCCACATTTTAATATTATCCTCCCATCTACGCGTAGGTTTTCCGATTGGTCTCTCCTCCTCAGGCTTTCGAATCAAAAATTTTGAAGCACTTCGTTACGCAGTTTCCTCCAGCCTCCTGTCAATTTATCTCTCTCGTTTGTAATTAATCTCATCGACTCCCTGTTCCCAAGCATCGTCAGGATTTGTTTTCTCCTTAACGTGAGACAGATACTTGGACACCAAAGATAAATACACTTTCTCCTTAGCAAAGAATACAACTGAGTTACTAAAAGACTGAGAAATTCCAATAAATCCAGTCTGCTTTGATATCAACCAAAATTTAATGGATCGACAATTTTATTTCAAAACCCTCCCAGCACCAAATATCTGATAACAGACCACTATTTTCGGATATTCAGCCTGTGGGCAGAAAGATACTACCCTCACTTCATGCGTTCACTCTGTGCAAAGGACGAATACGAAATACGAAGACCACACACTTGCAACTCACGAGGTTAAATAAACGTTTGCTGTCAGAACTTTCGCGGGTTTTCACAGGCGTTCGTTGTCTGCAGAGACACAGTCAAGACGACATAGAGAACACCAAATTTGAAAAGTCAATAGAAAGTCGATAGCACACAACAACAGGGATCCACACCCTCGCGCCTCCGTAAATGAAAAACTACTAAAACACGTTTACACAACGGGACGAATCAGACGAGAAGACGCTGCTAACTGGATACACAAAAAGCCAGGAGCGACTGAAACACGAGACAGTACATCTCTTTGCTCTTAATGCCCTACCAAGACAGCCGATAATAGCTACGTATGTAGAGCAAAAGCGGATTAAATCACGACATGACCGACTTCCAAGATAACCGGTACTTAAGTGCATTTGTCTGTTTCGCCAATAAGGGCCACCGGATGCATGTGACAGTCGAAATACAATCTTCCGTGACATGGCACAATTCTCCGAGATCTCGTTCGCCAAGTGACCGTTTACAAATTTCACGTCAGAGTCTGCAAACTGTGTTAGGTCAGTGTTTTTCCTGCGTTCTGAACTCGATTTAACCCGTGTGGAGAGGCCTATTACCCTCAAAAAAAACTCCAGAGTCACGACAACTGTCAGCGTCTATTTGCTCGGTTGCAAGAATATTCACGATGGAATGTCACGAATTTGAGTCTTTTACAAACGGCGGTCCGCTTAGATGAATTTGCACACACCATCTGCGCCAAACATCACTATATCCTCATTAGCAATATTAGCTGATGGTTATTTGATGCGAAGGGATTTTGGGTGTTACGGGATAATATTTATGATTATGTTTGTTTATACTCCATATTACAACCATAGGAGCCACGGTGGTCTAGCGGTTAGAACGCTGGCCTTGTAATCCTGGGGTCTCGGGTTCGAATTTATAACTTGTGTTGGGCAAGGCCGTGGTCTAGGCAACACGGAGTTTTCCTCCGTGGCATCCCAACAATTACTCCATTCACACACAGAAGAAGGCAATGGCAAACCACTTCTGGATCATCTGCCAAGAACGTATATGAACAGGTCCCAGTCCGAGAAAAGGATGGAAGGATCCTGTTCATATGGACCTGTCGTCAGACAGAACACTAAATAAATTATTTACAGAAATATTATTAAGTTACCGCACGAGTTATATAAATAATCGACCAGCCCTGTCACCAATGGGCGGTCTTCACGCCGTGGCTAAGACGAGCAGAGTCCTTCATCCGACAGTCGACGCAAGTTCTGATTAAATCCGACCAGATTCCGGATACCTCGGCCTCAGTCCGGACAGCAGACAATCCCAGACAAGGGAGAGGCTGAGAAAACCCACGAAAACTCTCAGATTAATCGGTAACCGAGCCGAACACTAGGTCCTGTAGATCGCCAGATCCGGGAGGACAGTTTCATAAACACAGCAAAGCATTTGTATCAGAAAAGGACGTGAAATGCAGTCCAGTTCGCTTCTCACAGTAAACCAAAAGCTGTTACGCAACCTGTACCTTAGACCA